CACACACACACACACACACACTCGCGCACACACACACACACACACACACACTCGCGCACACACACACACACACACACACACTCGCGCACACACACACACACAGACACACTCACTCGCACGCACGCACACACACACTCCTCACACTCATCCAGAGAGAAACACACATAAGGATGTCTTTGTTTTTATATATTTTTTCCCCTCAAATAATAAAATTTGCTCTCTCTACCTTACAGAATTATACCAGTTATTGTTACTGCAGCAAAATTATTTTTTAACATTTTCTAATTCATTCATTCATTAATTTCATTGTTTGTTTGTCCCCAAATTAGCTCTTTTCCTTACAGAAATGTACCATAGTACCAGTTATTTTTACTACTTTAAAATGATCATTATAATGTTTTTTAATGTTTATTTTATTATTGTTTTAATTTTTCTCAAATACTCAGATTAGCAGTCTCCCTTTACTGTAGTACTTTTTTAAATATTTAAAATATTTTTTCATTTTTTATTTTATTTTTTTCATTTTTATTATTTAAAAATTTTATTTTTCCGACAGAATAAGATTTTCTCCCTCCCTTACAGTTATTTTTTCTACTGTAAAATTATAATTTTGTTTATTTTTTATTTTCATTACTTTATTATTTTTATTTATTTACTAACTTTTTATTATTAATAATAATAATTATTTAACTTAATTTATTTAAAACTAGTTAATTTATTTAAAACCCAGTTTAAGGCCTGTTCACCTGAAGAACTAACCAGGGCTGCGTTTCTCAAAAGCATCATAAGCCTAAGAAGATCGTACGACTGATCTTAGTATAACGGTCTGTTTCCCAAAAGCATCGTAACTTAAGTAGCACTTGAAAATCATCGCAGATCTACGAGTGCTCTGGAGTAATCGCAAAGCCCTCAGTGCATCGTAAGAAGACAGAGTTACCTTTAACTTTATCCAAGTGCATATGAGGCTTTAGTTGTACTTCTCTTTATTACTCTTTTTTGTTTAAAGGAATTTATGAAATAATTAAAAAGAAAAGGGAAGAAAATGAAAAAAATAAAAATACACATGATATCATAAATATGTATACATAGAAAAGTGCTGATAAAACATTTCTGCAATAAACTTTTTTTGTCTGTACCTGTAGAAATGTATTGGCTAGATGAAGTACATATATTTGTGCTACTATCACCCTTAATATATACACTTTATATATTAATAATATCTAAACTTACATGTTTATGTTTGAAAATAACCATCAACCATTAGTCATTCACTTCAGAATCACTCATAAGAATTCTTATAGTATTTCATAGGGCTTTAGGCCTTGGGAGGTTAGGTAGGTTTTACGTCAAAAACACTGAATCAACATAGTTTTATAGATTTGAGTTATTGATTGAGTTCCCCACTGTTACGGAAGGAGACTCACACAGAGGATTAGAAAAATACAATATCGTTTATTTTCAACAAGGGGTGCAGATGGTTCGGGCAGGTGAGTAATTGAGCTTAATATCAGTCTTTAAGGAAGATGAGGAGAGTAACACTGTATTGGGTCTTCACAGGAGATCGTGGAAGGGAGACAGAGGACTGCACACACCTCAGTTGAAGAGTACAAGGAGTTTTCACGGAGCTGATGACTGGAACGGACTAGGGAATGGAACACAGGAGAACACACTGGAGGAAACACAGGAGGTAAGTATAACAGGCAGGTAAGTCTTTCAATGTATCTCACGGATAGCATAGAGAGAGAGTCCACTTCGTTTGAAACGAGACCGGACACTGGAGTGAAGTGAGGTGTGTGCTTTTGAAGGGGAGCTGATGATTGCAGATTTGTGACAGGTGCGTGTGATCAGTACTCAGGTGAAGGTGTTCGCTGTGATTGGGAGGTGGCTGAGTCTGGCCGATCTGTGACAGTACTCCCCCCTCCCGAAAGGCACGTCCCGCGCCGTAACAATTCCACCGGGGAGGGGGGGTGGGCGCCCTGGAGGCTGGTACCGGACGGCGACACGGGAGGGGCGGGCACTGGAGGGCGCTCTGGAGGAGCGGGCACTGAAGCGAGCTCTGGGGCTGGAGCCGACCCAGGAGTGAGCTCTGGGGCTGGAGCCGACCCTGGAGCGAGCTCTGGGGCTGGAGCCGACACTGGAGCGAGCTCTGGGTCTGGAGCCGACACTGGAGCGAGCTCTGGGTCTGGAGCCGACAC